TACCCAGGAACCCCCAAGGGGTCAATTAACTTGAAGTAAACACTAAAAGGAACTACCTTTAAGTGGCTGTAACTGCTATTATGGAGCAGCAAACACTGTCAGTTTCATCTGCAGCCAAGTTGTTCTCTCTGTACAGTATCTGGATAAATGAAAGGGAAAGGGTATCACGCCCTATTATGGATCACATTACAAGGCAATACTTTCCAAAAGTAAATAAAGTTGACTGTATCCAACATTAAGAGGATTTCAAAACAAAGGGAAAATACCCTTATTTATATTTTTCTATAAACAAGTCAAAAGCGGACATCTCATTTGGCAGAGACCAAACAAAACTATGAGAATAGATCGGTAGTTACCTTCATGCTTAAAATGCCGGACTTAAATCACTCTCGATCTAGAAACTGGTAGAATCAGTACTTTTCTTTTTTGTTGACCAAATACACCGTTCTGATGTAAGATGAAATGGACAATAAATGCATTTAATAGCAGAGACAAAGAAGGATGAAATGGAAATAACACTTTTTCTAAAAACTAGCAATAAAACACATAAAAATGTATCTTTATACGTATTCGAGGGCACCTCGCTCAGCCAGTGAGCGGCCGGTCTGTATGTGGGATCCGAACCCTGGGCGGGAGCGCCGCTGGGCTGGCCCCAAATACACAGTTTCTGATGTAAGATGAAATGGACAATAAATGCATTTAATAGCAGAGACAAAGAAGGATGAAATGGAAATAACACTTTTTCTAAAAACTAGCAATAAAACACATAAAAACGTATCTTTATACGTATTCGAGGGTCAAATATATAGATTTGGAGAGGGTTATTTGTTTTAGGAAGCTAAAATATGATTATTTTCAGCTTCCTCATTCAGATATAATTGGGTGAGGGGCCAGGTTGATGGTGATGAGCAATTTAATGTTGGAAATTCTTTGAGAATTGGAAATGGCAATGTATTTCTTGCTCTCCCTTAGAATGAATCATCGAGGATTTATAATATATCAGATGACAATAATGTACATGGTGGAACTGCTATTTGCAAAGCTCACAAGGACAACTTACTAAATACCTTACGCAACACAACGCAGTCCCAGGACCTTGCTCCTGATGTTGCCTATTCAATCACATCTGTTGGACAAACACCGTTTCCCAAGTTATGTGACAATTGTGAGCCCTTCTAAAACTGTGTCTCAGTATGGAGGAAGC